AAAAAAAAAAAAAAAAAAAAGGTTTTGGGTTATAGAAAAAAAGAACAACAAAAACATTCACATAAACATTGTCAAAATCGTGAACAGATATAGATCGAAACAGGGAGGTAAATTGCTTAAGCTGTAATTACCTTCCCCAATAATCCCAACGAGGCTGATAGGTCTCGTGTATAGGAGTATCCGCAAACGAGCAAGAGTAACAATCAGAACCAGTCCCGTTCGTGAGGTACAAGTTAGCATAGGTCACGTCCCCAACCAACAAAATAAGATCCGGCTTGTTGCTCGCCAAGTGATCGACTGTGGAAGTAGAGTTGTATGTAAGGCCCAGGTCTCCCATAACGGCTATACGACTTGGATAGCTTTTAGGACCAGAAGCCGGCATTGTTTTGAAATGATAAATCCCACTCATTGCAGGTATTGATGGGTCCCCACACCTATAGTAATATAGAGTGTTTGGCTCAAGACCTGCACAAACAAGATCAATCGCCTTAACTACTTTTACAGCTCAAAAAGTTTCTACGCATTTTCTGCACATATTGAAATTCTTTTCAGCTGCATAAGTGAGATGACCAAAAATAAAATGTTATTTCGGTAAATATATAGTAAAAAATCTAAAGATAAATGTAGGAAACTACCAAAGGTTATAGACTAGCGTATAGCAGGACTTAACAGTTAACCTAGTTCACAATTTAGCTATCAATAACAACTGAGTTTTCGAAACTAGATATGAATCTTTTATTCCTCCAGACCCAATATTCTTCATTTTCTATGAAGGAGGCAAATTGTTTTCGTTTTTTTCAACATCAGAAAAACAATGGAATCAGTGAATTTTATAGTCTATCAGGAAAACAATCTGAAATTATAGTGATTGCCCCAATAAAATCATGATGTAATAAGAATCTTTCCAAAGGGTAAATAAGAGTAAGGACTCGCAAGAACTCTGTTGAGTTACCTGTAAGACGGACATGATGAATAATCCCAGAAGTATAATTCTGGAGGCCCTCGAAAGGGTATAGCTGACTGTAAACGAGCGATTGCCCCTTGGCTTTGTGAGTCATGGGATATCTCAGCTTTCCATAGTGAACCACACTTGTAACAGTTTTCGGGTTCAACGGTTTTATGTTATTGCCGATTTGAAACTCCCCTACAATTAAAATCAACATCGTCACAATCCCGGATGACCATCAAATCAGGTCACAATCCAGAATGATCATCTAATCAGGAGATAGGCATTGTAATACCCTTTACACTCGCTGTTTCATTGACATAATCATACAAAATCACACTATTACCGTACATTACCTAGTTCCGATGAGCCCTTTTTTTTAAAAAAAAATAAAAAAAATAAAAATTAAACAATGAAATTGCCAGAAGAGTCAGTCAATCTGCTTAACTTGGCGCCATTTAATGGAAAAAGACAGGCCGGCCTCTCTCTAACAATAAACTCGTAAAAATAAAATACACAGCCATGTTTGTTGTTTCAAAATAAAATAAATAACATTCTCTCTAATCATATAAACTTGTAAAAATAAAATGAATAAATTCAGGCAGACAAAATCTAACCTGTAATCCAAGAAATCCAGACTGAATCATAAGTGGAGGATAAGGAAACTGAAATTTGCTCGGGCCCGTAACCTGTAACGTTTCTTCGGACTCTGGGATCGTTATCGGGCAAATCGATTGCATGTCCCCTGAAACTTTTATCCAACGGCACAGTCACCGGACGAAACGGCCCCTCAAGGGTCGTCGGAATTTCACCGCTAATTTGGATTCCGGCGTTACAAATAAGAAATACTATAATTAATATCTCCCCTGCAATTTGAAAAGGTTGCAGGGCCATTTTCTTGGGAAATACGCTTAAGGTAAAACCCAAATCAATTTCTCTTTAAAAAAAATATATATATATATAAAATAGCAGTTATAGAATATCAAATAATCTGAATGTCAAATATAAAATCTGTCTTCGGATCCTATCGTGTCACTGCGCAGCATGTGCGCGTGTATATAGATTATTGCGAAGAAACTTGCTTTCACGCATAATATATGTTCGCGCGTGTCTAATAATGATGATGGCGTGAAACTTTTTGCGGTGGCTACGCGAAGAAACTTGCTTTCACGCATAATATATGTTCGCGCGTGTCTAATAATGATGCAAGAGGACGGGCGAGCGGTTATGTCAGTTACAGAGGCCTGACAGGGTATGGAGAGAGGAGTGCTGCAAATTGCCATTAAAAGGCATCACAAAGAGCACAACTGGGAGTCATGCCATAATTGTTGGAATTAAGTAAAAATGTAAAAATCTCTTTCCTAGAAGATACTAATCGATAATGATCGGAAGTTTTTTTTTTTTTCTTTTATTTTAAAACCATAGAGTTCATTGCTAATTGCTAAAAACACATGATTGCAATTGGCCATAATCGAAATGGGAGGCCTACTCTAGGTATCTTAAAAAGCCGCAACATCACACTACAAACACACAAAAAAACTCTCATCACAAGAATATACACTCCCCAACGAGAGAAGACACTCCAAAAGCAGAGAAAAAAAAAAAACACACAAATACACACATACAACACAAACAAACAAAACAACAAAAAACACAACAATAACTAAATTAAAGCCCTTCTCAGGGCAGCGAAACCAAACCGAACCACAACAATGCCGACACCCATGAGCAACCACCCACACAGACAGAGTCTAGGTCCAAGACAAAAAAAACAGAAACTACAGAATACACGCCTAACTAGCTAGATTCGAGGCTTGAATACCTAGCCCTGCCCGAGTAGCCAACCCATTGTCCTGGAACCGGAGATCTACAAACAAGCTTCACCATTCTAGCCGCGACAACCCGGGCCCGGGATACGCAACCCGACCCTGAATCGAATCTGCCCAAGCAACCGAACAGCTCAGAAGCAGAGAAACCTGGAGAAGGGGCAAACAGAACGACCCGATCTCAGCCCGACAATCTCAGCCCGACAACCCCCGAAGAGATGATCGAAAACACAACCTTGAGACGCAGGCTCGCCGGAAACTCGTCGTCGCCCATTCGCCGCGAAACCGCCGACCAAAACCCTCATTAGCGATAAGGGGTCGGAAACCAAAACCCTCCTAGGGGTTGATATCCAACATTTGCCCATCTGGGTTACACCCTACTAAAGACCACATTGACAAACAAGTGGAAAATCAATTATAAAAGATTTGGATTTAACTCAATTTTAACTGACTTTTTTATGGCAAAATTGTAACACCCCGCTTTACTTTACGAATTATCTTTAGAAATCAGAGTTAAAAATTTGTTTTATTTTCTAAAGAACTGCCTTTTTTTTTAAAAAAAAAAAAAATACTTATCTTTATCTCGAGATGATACCATGTCTGAAAACTACTTTATTATACCATAAGGTATAAAAACTTCTGCATGTCATCTTTATAGTAAATATCCGAGTTACTACACATGCAGAAATTCATAAATATCTTTTCTGAAAAACACAGCGGAATTAAAAACATTGTTTTGATAACATGTTCAAGCTCTGTACATAAAACTTTATTCTTGAATTTATTCTGGAAACTGTGGCCGAACCACGATCAACAAACCACCATTTCTCACGCTCCACGCCGCTCAGCATGACCTGAGGAAAGATTGATTGTGGGGGAGTTAGCACAAATATATAACCATGGTGCTACTCATAAACCAACATTGAATAAACAACACATCTAATAACAAATCATGAAACTAGTATATATATAAGAATTTAAAACTGAAACTGATCATAACTCCTGGGCTCTGTGGCCGGTATTCTAACTCCCGGACTCTGTGGCCGATAATCGTATGCATACTCTGATTTAAGCCATCTGGGCTTAATCAGAACCTGGATGGGATATAAGGACTCTGTGGCCCCCACCCAAGCGATAATTGGGACCTCACCTTTGTAGGTCATCGCACTATGGCGAAACTCATACATACATACCTCATACATGATAAGCGATTAGAAGCAATGAAATACCCAGTATTTGGTCCCCACCTATTAATTGAATATTTGTAAATGCTTTCTTGTCTGATAGCTGAAAGAGGTTGGCTTCCCTTCAAGCTACATAAAATTTAAGCAACTATACTAAGCCTTTGCTTAAACATACTTTTATTGAACTTTCTTGGCTCGGAAAATACTCAAACTTTTGATTTATCTGTTCCAGAAATCTTATACCCAAAATACTTAGCTCTTTCTCAATTTCTTCTTATTTTCCAAAAACATCTTATTTGATATCATACTCTTTGATATAAAATTTTAGCAAATACTAGTATGCCATAAAAATTTCAGATCAAAACAATAACCGAGGGCTCAGATATCACCATTTGAAGTTTTAGCTAGAACATGAATCATTTGAACTTGACTCTGCACCACAAATTACAAAAATTCAAATCTCAGGCTACACACATCCAAATGACCTTGAACTTGAATGAGAATACTCACAACTTTCACAAGAGTTTACCATAAAAATTATCATTTAGCAGGTTATCCATAGATAGGGACATTCCAGGTCACAAGTCATCAATACTACACAGAATTCACTTCGGACAACACTTTAATTAACGATTTTTACAGAATTCATTTCAAGTCCAAATAATCTGCAATTTTACAGTAATATCCTTAACATAATCTTGAATCAACATAAAATGTCTCATATTTTTCTGGATACGTTATGCAAAACAAAAATCGAATCAATCTTGCTGCAGTAACATGAACTCGAAAATTCCCAACTTAACAATCTCATGCCCAATTCCCATGTAATCAAAGACTATCTCAAACCTCCAATATAACACATGAAAGCACATATGAAAACTTATAATCCTCATCCAAAGATGAAGTAAAAAGGTTTGGAGAATTACCTTCAAATATATTCCAAAACTAAAACAAATGAGAGCTCGATTTAAGCTATCTTCTCTTGGTTCTTACTCGATTCTCAATATATTTTTTTTCTTCTAATATTTTCTTCTCTTTTTGCATGGTGTAATCTTCTCATGGCTGAATGCTCCTTTTATAGTTGATTTTAGGGGACAACTTTCACCATCTTTTGATAAAAATATCATATTAAGGTCTCATCACAACTAATATTCTCAACCAATTCATAAAACAATTTGATCAACTCCTACTCTTGATTCTTCTCTTCATATGGACAGATTTGATGCGTTGTTTCAGCTGGAAATTTACATATTATATCATGCCTTTACAACTCATAACTTAGATGACCAAATATGCTCCAACTAATGTAGATTCCACCATAAAAATTAAATCCTCAAGTCAACTTTTGTCTCCAAACACTTAGCATCTTTAACTCATGGTTTTTGCTCTCAAAATGGCTGAAAATATTTCTTCTTAACAGTTATCTTGGAACATGCTAAGAAACCGAAAATAACAAAATTTACGGAACTCAATTCGGACTTAAAACGAACATTTACCGTATAACCGAAAATTCTAAACATTTTGGATTCTATCTAAATAATTCAAATAAACTATAATGTCTAAATAAATTTTCTCACTTCTTTGAACCTTTTTAACTTAAATGTTCACGGATACTTAACCGTACTCGAGACCTAACTTGTCTCGATTTTTTTCGAGGTCTTGTTTTTTACTTTTCTCTCAATAATATTAGACTCTATTATTGCCTCATCTCCTTATCATTTTTCTTATCTCTTTCAAACTAGAAATTGTCAAGTTTACAACCATTTATCTAAATAAAATGAACCGTTACTTAAACTTGAACTTATCTTAAATAACTTATTATCTGAAAACTATTGATGATTATTTACTGACTTACTGACTTATTGTATATAATTATATAGGATATGAATTAAATATTTAATTTTGGTTGAATTATATTGTGTAGAATAATTTTATGTTCAGTACATGCTCGTGGTATATTAATTTTCTTAAAACTGATTTTCGGTGAGTGACAAATAAATGATTAAAATTAGGGGTGTCCTGAACAAATTTTCTATCTCCTCGCTATTCTCCACCAAATAGAAAACCTTTGTCTCATTGTGCAGCGTTCGCCAGCCTCCTCCTCAGCGGGAGGCTCCGCGCCGCCATCCTGTGATGAAGAATCGTGTATATTGACTCGGCTTGTGTATAAACGCACTCTGATGAAACATCATGTTCTTGACTCCACTTGTGTAGAAACGCGCACCAACGGCCTTCGTTTAGACACAATAAGTTATGATAAAACCCGCACTAAGTTCTAACACAAAAAAATGGTGCTCAAGACGAGCTATTCGATATCTTATTTCTTGCATGCAAAAAAAGGTGAATACGTTTATATGAGAGAAAACCTAAGCCTATCAAAAATAGAAATACTAACCTCTTAGGAATCAAATACTAATTCTTAAGAAATAATTAATTATGCACAAGCTAATTAATTAGGCACATGCTTATAAACATAAACTTTGAAACCATAAACTAGGATATAGAATATTAATAGGACTACAAGACCAGCCCAAGTCTTCTAAAAAACTTGCTCTCCAAGCTTCTCTAGGCCAGGTGGCAGTCCGCGCCCAACATGGTCTCCCAGGTCATCCCGTGTCCGCTCGCGCGTGTCGTCCAGTGACGTGTATGTTGGTGTTATTTACTGAATGCTTGGGTTTGAATGATATTACACTTTTACCCTTTATGAATGAGAATCATGTTAGATAAACAAGTTCTATGTTATGTTGTTTTGCACTTAGATAGAATGGGTCGTCATCGGGCGAACTGAAGATCATTCTATCAGTTACTTGCGAAACATGAATTGTGGTTCACAACCTAGATAGAAATGAATACCCTATCGGAACGGTTGTAGTGTCAATGGTAC